ATCAGATAATTCTGAAATTCTTCAGATATTTCTGAAACAGTTTCAGATATTTAAGGTTTTTCTACTTTTACAAGAAGAACAAACATACTGTAAATTCAGGTTTGAAGTGCCAATTTCTAGTTATCAGGTTCAAATGCAAACCTGATAATTTTGATGCTAGCTATTAAAATTTGTATTACTTTCCTAAGGTGTTTCTACTATTAAAGTAATACTAAATGTCCAATGTTGTAATTGCATCTATCAGTGGAAAGGACAATCTACATCTTTGCATGTTTCCCGGGTCTGCTTTATTTGTTTTATTTATTTATAATCTGTACCACATTCATCCAGTTAAATGTACCTAGCAATAAATAACAATAAAGCCTTTATGTAAGAATAATAAAAACAGTTGTTGATTGTTGGGATGTTCCAGGCAATATTTGCAGGACATGCAGTGGGAGTGAAGAGAAAGAAAAAAATCAATTCATAAGTGAATATTTACACACGTAAAAAGAAGTAGAGCTCTAATTTTTGTATGTGGCTTTGTAAACTTGTTTAGTGTTATTTGTGAATATTTTTGTTATGAGTTGTTTATGAGTTATTTTTATTAGGTTTTTTTATATGGATAAGCTCTGTCAGATTCAGTGGTCTTCTGAATGTGTATATTTAACTTAATATTAAAGCATGCTATAGATAACCAATGCTATGCAAGTGAAATTTCCTTTTACCTCTTCCTTCTTCCTCTTCCCCCCATAATATTTCTTCAATGAATAGAAACATTGCTGTTCCGCAAATTTAGCTCTTAATTAAATGCAGCCTTATCATTAACCTGCTAGTCTGAAATAAAAAAGGAAGAGAAATATATTGCTGCTTCTTTCTGTATTTTTTCCAATGATTATTGGAATTCCAATGATTTAACACTGCACAGTTAAAATAGTACTCTCATTGGCTATATAGGTAGTCCTTGAATTACAACATTTAATTTAGTGACCATTCGAAGTTACGGCACTGGAAAAAGTGACATGACCATTTTCACACTTATGACCATTGCAGCAATCCCATGGTCACATGATTTACATTCAGATGTTTCACACCTGGTTCATATTTACGATGTGTACTTAATATGCAGTGCAGGGTCTTAGGATCATGTGAGCATCTTTTGCATCCTTTGTCAAGTGAAGTCAATATAGAAGCTAGATTCACTTAACAGCCCTGTTACTAACTAAACAACTGCAACAATTCACTTAACAAATGTGGCAAGAAAAGACGTAAAATGGGGCAAAACTCACTTAACTAAATTCTGGGCTCAATTGTGATCATAAGTCAAAGACTACCTGTACTTGGATTGTCTGCATCCAGGAAAGTTATTGAATAGAGCCCTCTAAAACATTCTGCAAAAGGTTATTTTAATGTGACTACCAGAGAAATTATTAAATGAGGAAATTATTGTTCTAATATTATGGTATTTATTTCTATCTAAGTGTAAATAAAGTCAAATGAAGTTTTGTGCTGGGTTCTGTTTCTTTGTTTCCCCTCTATCTTGCTTCTTAAAAGGTCTCTAGTTCCTTCAGTTTCTTTGAATCCGTTTATCAAATGGCCACATTTACCTCTAATGAATCTGGGTAGCTTATAATTTAAAAATTAAAAAAGACCATAAAGTTCCCCCTCCCCCAATTTTTTTTTTAACTTTGGCCTACTTTTTATTCATGGAAAGCCCAGTACGCAGGAAAGAAAAAAGTTATACAGTAGCACATTATCTAACTTTGACTATCCCAGGTAATACATGCATGGTGAAATCTTGATTTAATGGATCATTTAGTAGGGAGTGGAGTTGTCTGTTAATCCCAATTACATCTGAAAACACATCATTTGCAGCAATTACCATCACTTTTATATACATACGATGTAATTTAACATTGATTTTCATGAATCATCTGGACTACTTTGGGTACTAAGGACTTACACATTATTTCAGGCAGATGTCTGATTGAAGATTTTGTTTGCTGAATGAGGACCTGTTAAATTGATGTTTTACTATACTGTTGCTATGAGAGCCAGCAAGCTTTAGTAGTTATGGGGCTGGAGTAAGAGCAGAGAGATTTTATGTCCTCCCTTGGGCATGGAGGCCAGCTTGATGATGAGCTAATCCGGGGGTCAGCAACATGCGGCTCTTTGGGCCCTCTCCTGCGACTCCCTGTCAGATGATCCCACCACTGGGTGGCCTCACCTCTCCCCCTCACTCCTCGCCTGCCCTGAGAAGAGAAGGGCAACTGCGGCAGATGGAGGCTGGGTCCATATTCCAGAGCGGGAGCGAAGCACCCCTCTACTTGCCTCTTTTTCTAGCCCTTGTTGGTGCTGCACGCACCTCGGCTGCTGGGGGAGACGCATGACTTTGCTCTGCACCGAAACATTGACTGGGTCGCCCGGCTGCAACCAATGCTCCACGTCATAATGGGCTCCAGGAGGAGGAGGAGGGAGCGCAATCTCCCGCATTGTGCAGCGTGCTAAGTTTAAGTGCAGGAGCAGCAAGCAGCCACGGAGGTGGTGAGAGGAATATGGGGAAATGCTCTTGCATTTAAACTTAGCACGCTGCACAATGGAGACGGCGTACCCTCCTCCTCCTGGAGCCCATTATGACGCAGAGCATCGGCTGGGGCGGCCCATTTGGTGTCTCGGGGTGGAGAAAGTGACATGTCTCCCAACAAGGGCCGGAAAAAGAGGCAAGTAGAGGGGCGTTTCACTTCTACTCTGAAATCCGCATCCGCCGCCCTTCTCAGGGCAGTTGAGGGGAGGGCAAGTGGCGGATGGGCCAGCCAGCAGACATGGAACCACAGCAGGGGGACGAAAGAGCTTCATTTATCTGGGAACCTGAAATGACTCTTGATTTAAAATTAAATCATATGGTAAAAAGCACATCAGAAAAAAAAACCCCAACCCTCGCCTGTTTTTGCAAATGGTTCAAGAGGGAACCCGCTCGCACGTGCATGCGCACACACACTCACACGAGAGAGAGAGAGAGGGGGGGGGAAAAGGGAGGGAGATGAGAAAGATGAGAAAGAGGGAGAGAGAAAGATGAGAGAGGGAGAAAGATGAGAAAGGGAGAAAGAGATGGGGGAGGAAGAAAGAGAAAGATGAGAGAGGGAGAAAGAGAAAAAGAGAAATTGAGAAAGATGAGGGAGGAAGAAAGGGAGAAAGATGGAGGGAGAAAGGAAAAAAAGATGAGAGGGAGGGAGGAAGAAAGATGAGGGGGGAGTGGGAGAGGGAGAAAGAAAGGAGAAAGGGAGAGAGAAAGATGAGAGGGAGGGAGAGGGGGAAAGATGAGAGGGGAGGAGAGAGCTGTTTAAAAGAAAATACCTGGAGCCACAAAACCTGGGTAGGCGTGGCTGGGGGTGTTATGTGACTGGGTGGGAGTGAGTGATGTCGAGTTGGCCACGCCCACCCAGGTTTTGTGGCTCCCGGGGTTTTGCTTTTTGTGGGAAACGGGCCCAGGTTGCTCTTTGAGTGTTTAAGGTTGCAGACCCCTGGGCTAATTGCTTCCTCTTAGCCCAAATCAATGTCAGGCTCTGGAGCAACACTGCTGAAAAACAAATGATAGGCTTCCCTATGAGAAGAAAGCGAGTTTGGTTTAGAACAGGCCCTGTGGCTGAGCTGGACACTAGTACTATTTATGTAGCCTTGTATCCTAGTAAAAGTTCTCCACAAATGCTAACAGACCTGTTTCATGAGAAGAAAGCATCTGACAGTCTGGTTTCTCTGCTACATATAAATCCTACTGGAGAAAGATTTTCAAAAAGTCCATATAGTTCTATAATTTAAATTATAGTAAAATCCATCTATGAAAAATACGTTTTTCTGTGTACATTCTTTTTTCTGTTCTGTCTCTCAGAGCCAAATGTTGAGATTATGAGAAATTTTGCTATGATGTTCATTTCTCTTAATTGCTTTAGTCATAACAGAAGGCAAGGACTGCGCCTGTGTTAACTTTAGAATTTAGCAAATTATTGATTATGTATATAGCAGGTGTGAGCAATTTATGGCCTTTCTAACATTCTGAAATTAGAATTAGATGAATTTTGGATAGTACTTTTTTATTGTATTAAATACAGAAAGGTGATTTGGCATTTCAGCCTTTAAAAATACCAAAATGGTTAAAAAAGAAAACCATAGTTGTACTGCTTCCAGTGATATCTCTGCATCTGTATATGGCCATTTGTAACTTTCCAGATGATCAAGACACTAGCTAGGAACCCAGTCCCATCTTAACTATGGTGTACAGAGTAACACCTACTAAATTGGAGTAATTAACTATGTTAATTACTGTAAATTATGTATACCTTTACTAGTAGCTTCCAGTTCTCTCTACTGTCCAATCTTGATTTAAATAAGACTTTTCTGTTTTTTAAGGCTTTCTTTTATAACACATAGGGGTTAAATGTCTTTGTACCATTTCAGAACAATATGAATTAGTTCCATGAGTCCAGAAAGCAACATCTTTCCTCCTTGGCTTTTTCAGTTATAGCAGATCTCTTTTGAAACTCAGAGAGTTTCTTCCCTCAGAAAATCTTTGTGATCACGTTCAAGTTAACTCTTTGAATCCTGGACATGTTCTACAGATTTGCTATAATAGTTCCATTATTGTATTACCAACTGATAGTTTGGAAGAGTTACGTGTATATTTTTAGTCTCAAATGTAGTACTAGATTTGTTTATTCTACCAGCCCAGATAATAGGATTATGTTAGTTGTTTGTTTCAGTTCATGTGGATGGTGAAAAAAACAAAATTGTTTGCTTTGGATTGGTTGATTCAGTTGTGGGACAATGCAATTTCTTGTCTTTAATTTAGTTTCTTGTCTTAGATCCACCAATCCGTTGTTTCGTCTGATCTAATGACTACTGGAATCCTGCTAGCTGTACAGGTTTCCTTGTCTTTCTAACAGCATTAGGTGTGCATATTGGGATTTCGTTCAAGAAAAGAAGTAGATACACCAAGCTGAAGATGATTGGCTGCTCTTTTTTGACAGACAAGTGTGAAAAGGAAAACCCATTCGATTTCCCATTCATTCTGGATTGGTGGATCTGAAGCACAGAAACAGAGTTTCAGGTAAGAAATTCTCTGTACTAAATAGTGTTACAAATGTCTTTTGTGGTTAATCAAATATGTTGTTCTGCATCAAGTTCTCAGCACATGACAATTTATATGATGACAGGTGTTCCCAGTATGCACTTTTCCACATGGGTGGAGTTTATCAGTTAACATGTCATGACAAATGAAAATCATTTGTGGGCTGTGAGTAAAATACAGTATATCACTTTTTTAAATGATCAAAAGAAAATTTGCCAGAAAGCTCTACTTTTTGGCTTTGTAGTATAAAGATTGAGCTGAATTTATAGTAAAAGAATAATAATATTTACAAACTTAATGTGCATAATAAGTGCTCTTTCTATATCTTTATTTACTGGTGGAAACATCAAAATAAGCAATTTTTATATGTATGTAAATAAATTCCAAGTCAGGATTGCATGGTTCTGTAGGAACTGAAGGAAGTGAGGGGGAAAAACTTTTAAATAAATACTTGTGGTTCATTATTTTGTGAACATTAACAAGTCTGATTTAATACAAGTTTATAAAAACTCCCCAAAATTCATAGCACACAGCATTTTTACATTATCTTGCTCTCTTGAAAGATTTTCCACTATAATTAAATTTTATTTACTACCAGTTTTATTTTCACTGGTAGTTTCAACATTGCACATAGTCCATGGACTAGACAGTTGTTTAACAGCTGAAGCTTTTCTTGTTTCAATATTCATGAAGTTTTGGCATTCTTCCAAAAAAATTCTCACAATATTTCGCTTAGAAATAATACAATCTTACAGAGATTGATGATCTCATTAGATTTCAGTTATCAAAAATAGATCTCTAAACATTGTTAAAGTACTAGGGAATTTCATCTCTGGTCGGTAGAAGAGGATCAAATACATCTCAGTGTCCACAGAGTTAGTGTTCTTATGTGATATTCATGTAGTAGACCATATAAACGAAAGTTTGGGAGCTCTAATATATAAGAAAGATGGCACCTTTCATTATTTAAAAATGACAGTTCTTTTGTTTAAATGGGCTAACTCAGTTACAACGTTTAGAAGATTTACTCCTAATCTCATTTTACTGCTTACAGGAGAAACTGCTACCTGTATTGAAAGTATTTTACAAGGATCATCTGGATTACTTACATACTTGGTATTGATGTTAGTACAGCATATGGCTTTTCTGTTGCTCTCTAGTTGAAATTTAAGAACACTGTTGAATCTAAAATGTAGGCACTTCTTTTTGAGGAAAGGAAAATTGAACAAGGCAGTGTATATACATTATATATTTTTTTAAAAAATATTTTCTCATACTGGTTTACCGAATAAAAATACCTCATAACTGGATATATTAAAAACCAAAAACAACATTGCTGTGTCATACTTTCAGTAGAGCAGTATTTCTCTCAGGTATAATGGTTGATAACCAAGTTTTGAAGTCATAAGGATGTGCTTTGGTCAATCTCTGCTATGAATTTTGGATATACCATTGCTTGTATGGATGCGCCTTCTTCATATCATTGGACTAATAAGAGTAGTATTCCAGCAACTGACTTTTATCCTGTATGAATAATTGGTGTTGACAGCAGGACTCCTTCCATTCTAATCCTTGAATAATACCAAAGTTACTCTTCCCCTGCACTTATTTACATACATTTTTCAAAATAAAATTTCTAAGATTATTATTGCCTTCCTGGCCCAATTGGAAAACAAATCACGGAGGCCAGCTTTCCTGAAATGCTAATTTATTCAATTTATAACTAGATAGCACACAACAAATTAAGCCCAAATCTACAAATCTTACCATTGCTTAGTATTGACAGATCTGACCATTAGAGTCAAATATATTTATTAATGTGTGTGTGTGTGTGTGTGTGTGTGTGTGTACATAGGGTTAGAGCTTCCTATAACTTTGTGTCAGTGCAGTTTATTTATTTTAACTATTTTGTTCAGGAAACAGTTACCCTGAAAATGAGTTTAGCTAGGACGGGTGGACAAGTGTGGCTCTTTTATAACCTGTGGACTTCATCTCCCAGAATTCTTGAGACAGCTTGGCTGTCTCAGGAATTCTGGGAGTTGAAGTCCACAGGTTGTAAAAGAGCCACATTTGCCCACCCCTGTGCTAGGAGAAGAGAACTGAGTAGGTGAAGAACAATAAATAGCATTTCAAAGAAACTGATAGAGACTTATTGAGGAAACAAATGGATCGGCTATAATTGTGCTGTTGGATTCCTGAGGAGTTGATAAAAACCTGGTTTAGACAAATGAATGATACTCATACTCTTTCCTTTAGAATTAGCTCTGTGGTTGATTAAGAACTGCAAATAAAGGAGCTGGAAACCCACTGGCTAGGTTCACGTATATGCAGCTGTGGTTCGTTTAAAATACAATTTGTTGAATGAATATCTTGGGTCTTCAGAAGCTTAAGTAATTAGTTACATAAATCTGGTTGTGCATTGACTAAATACAAATTATGGATACCGACAGTTGCTGGTTTCATAAATTACATTAAAATTGAAACCAAATATAGATTAATTTGACTCACGAACCCTGCAAGAAATTCCTTTGTCAGTGAGACCTGGTGTTTTTATACTAAAGGCAACTATGCTAACTTATAGTTTTTAAACAAATTGCACTTGCTAATTGGTGTATTTATAATCTATCTCGCATGTCACCTGCATTTATAAAACACTGCTTTCTTCCCTGGCCTTGCCTCAGCCTCTTTAAAATCATTCTATGCATCTGATATAGTTACTTTAAGTTCACAAAAGCTTATGCCTTTTTATAAATAAAGGGTCTAGAACCCCCTTTGTCAGTCAAAAAACGGTGCTACCAGGCATAAATTAATACAGCCCTTTGTATACAGTATCCATGTTGCAAAAGTTTAGGTGAAAATTGAAAATAGAATAAAGTACATTGTTGGCTTTATGTATTTTTCTTATAGTCTAAGTACACTTTAAAATTGATAGATATACTTGGATTTTTCACCCTGGAAGCTAAACGCAAGACAGATATTGAAATATACTGCTTAAAATGTTTTTTGCAGGAAATAGCCTAAAATATTCATATTGAAGTATTTGTGGCAGCAGGTATAAGTGTCTTTTAAAATTTAATGATGTAAGTATGTAAAAGGAGTGAAATAGCAGCATTTGGAAATAACACTAAACCACAGCATATGATTTATATAGCTATATCTTAACTCACATGTGGATCGGAACCTTCCATTTAAATTAACTGCAGTTGATTAGGTTTACTGAGCCCAACCTGTATATAAGGCTTGAAATTGGGCTGTTCCTACTAACTGTAGTTATATTTAACCATTGTATTGGCTAATTAATGTGAAATAAAGATATACATTATTGTACACCAGAGGACACAGCAGTCCATAAAACATTTGTACAATAGATACTATAGGTTGACTGCTGTATCATAATATGTTCTATTTTTAATATATAACAATTCGTAGATTATTTGAATAGTTGAATGGCCAAAGAATTTGATTCCAAATTATACAGAATTAAAATAAAAAAGGACTATAGGTAATTCCAGAAGGATCTCTCCAGGCTAGGAGAATGAAATTAAAATGGCAAATGCATTTCCTTATAAGCAGATTTAGGCAAAAACACATTTATCCACACTCATGTGGGTGCAACACAAACAGTTATGCACTGCTAACTAGATAAAGGATCTTGGAAGGTAGGATGAATAGCTAAATACAGGTAGTCCTCAACTTACAACAGGTCATTTAGTGACCAAAGTCACAATGACACTGGAAAAAATGACTTATGACCATTATTCACACTTAGAACCGTTTCAGTATCCCCATGATCAGATGATCAAAATTCAGATGCTTGACAAGTGGTTCATACTTACGATGGTTATAGTGTCCTGGGATCAGGTGATCCCCTTTTGCGACCTTCTGACAAGCAAAGTCAATGGGGAAGCCAAATTCACTTAACAGCCGTGTTACTAACTTAACAACTACAGTGATTCACTTAATTGAAGCAAGAAAGGTGGGAAAATGGTGCAAAATTTACTTAACAAATGTCTCGTTTAGCAACAGAAATTTGGGCTCAGTTCAGGGGTGAAATGCTCCTGGTTCGGACTGGATCGCCCGATCCGGTAGCGATGGAGGCGGGTGGTTCGGAGAACCGGTAGCAAAAATCCCTGCCCCCCCCACCCCATTCCCAGCTGAGCCGCACAATCATCAGAGGCTTTTTTTTACTTTTAAAAGCATTTTTTCTGCAACCTCTTTGGCGGAAAAAATGCTTTTAAAAGTAAAAAAAACCCTCTGATGATCACGCAGCTCAGCTGGGATTGTCAAAGGCTTTTAAAAGAAAAAAAACCCCTTTTTTTCTTTTAAATGCCTCTGACAATCCCAGCTGAGTTGCCTGATCGGCAGAGGCTTTTAAAAAAAGCCTCTGCCGATCAGGCAACTCAGCTGGGATCATCAGAGCCTTTTGAAAGCATTTTTTAACAACCTCTTTGCCAAAGAGGTTGTAGAAAAAATGGTTTTAAAAATCAAAAAAAAATTGGCCACGCTCACCCAGTCACATTACCCCCAGCACCACCACCACCAAGCCACGCCCACAGAACCGGCAGTAACAAATTTTAGATTTCACCACTGGCTCAATTGTGGTTGTAAGGTGAGGACTACCTGTAAAAACATTTGCTCATCGTGCATATTCTTAAAAAACATGACTTTCATACTAATGAGGTGTCATCCAGGAAAGAAAAGAATAAGCTACCATGCTGGAAACATTGAATGTTGTTACAGAACTAGAAGAGGGACAGAAAATTGCTACTAAAGCAACCAGAAATCTGAAACAGTCATCAGGTGTGGAAATAATACAATTGGGAAATCTTAAAAACAAGATAAAATATAAATCAGTGAGGAATTATAGAAGCTTATAAACTCATGGCAAAAAAAGTGATCAACCAGATTTAGATACAGATAGTCCTTGACTTATGATCACAGTTGGGACCAGAATTTACAATCCTAAGCAAGGTGTTTGCTAAATGAGTAGTGACCAATGTTATGACTTTTTTTTTTGTCACAGTTAAGTGAATCAGCCAGTTATTAAATGAATCTAACTTGCATTAACTTTTGTTGTCCGAAGCTGGCTTGGAAGGTTGCAAATGGCAATCACATGACCCTGGAATGTTGCAATCATTGTATATACATGCCGGTTGCCAAAAGCCCAAATTTTGATCATGTGACCGCAGGGACAGTGCAACCGTTGTAAGTGTGAGGACTGATCATGAGTCACTGTTTTCAGTGCTTTTGTAACTTTCAACAGTTGCTAAACGAATGGTTGTAAATTGAGGATTATCTGTTTGCAGTAAAGCTTAACACATAATAAAGGTCAACATTGAGAGTTTTTTTTTGACAGAGAGGATGAACTTCACATAATATCCTTTCTATACTGATCCCTAGGATATACCGGTAAGTATTGCTTAGCACATTGTAAGCCACCCTGAGTCTCCGGAGAAGGGCGGCATATAAATCAAATTAAAAAAAAAAAAAAGTAGGTAGATGCTATTGCATTCATCTGCTGTTTATAGATTTTTTTTTCCCCTGGTAGAATTAGATTGGGGAAGCTTGATTCTAGAACTTTAATGTTTAATTTTTTTCATCAACAATGCTTCTAGTGCTTATAAGAACACTTTATTGTTACCAAGGGGTGATATTTTTTTGCCATTTTTAATAGCATGTGTACACTTACACCACATAGGTTGGTTTTTGTATTTGGATCTGGAATTTTCTCCTAGGTCAGACTAGCAAAGATATGGCTTCCTTCTTGCTTTTCATTGCATGTATTTGATCTACGTTGCCTTAACAAGTTTTACCCATTTTTGGGGGGCCATTGTGATCTGAAGGAAGGATTGGTGCAGGCTCCACTAACCTGGTATTTTTGGGGGCAGGATTACAGCTGTGATACTCCAAGTGTATTTTTAGTATTTTAGTTTAATACTACCAAAGATAGCAATTTGAGAAAGATTGGACAGGCGGGCAATTGGCCCTGCCCTATTGAAGAAGGATTGGACATTTTCAGTTAATTATCTAGAATATTTTAAAGAGTAATTAAAATAGATACTTGGGTATCAAAAGTTATGTGGATAAACTTGAGCTTTTTTCTATAATTAGATTATGCTGCTCCAGTTGCAGCTCTTTAAGGGAAGATGTTTGATTTCTTTAGATCCCTGTTTTTATAGTGAGGACAGAATGAAGTTGGACTGGGATTTAAAAGAGACTTTGTTCTCTCTTCTTGAATACTTAGATATTACCAACTACACGATAGCAACCGAATATGTGATAGCACAACTATTATTTGGCTTTAGATTAAGATAAACTCCATTTAACTGCCATGATTTGAAAACAAGCATTCCTATAGATTGTGATAGTACTATGTTATATATGTGTATATAAAACCATTGGATTGGATTCAAATTGCCAGATGTCTACTGGAAAAAGAAAATGTTCTTTCAGTCAGTTCTTCTACCACCTGCATTCTCCCCATGTCCCCGCTCCTAAACCTGCTATGAAGGTTTGAGAGGCCTTTTGAAAGAGCTGTGTGAAGTTGCACTGGAGAGGAAATGAGAAATCGGCAAATATTCCCCCTGCTCCCAGTCCTATATGGACACCTATTGCTTCATTTTGATCCCTTTTATCAAATTACAGTGCCAGTTGTAAAAGAAAAAGTTTTTTTTACTTCAACCCTCTACAGTTTCTCTATTCTGATTTAAAACATTGGCCTGTCTCACTAGTATTTTGTACACTGATTAATAAAGTTTTTTCATAGCTAAAAGAGTCTGTGAAAGGCTTTTCAGCACAACCGGGGATCTTCTGAACATAGAGAATATTCTTTATCAGTGAAGTGTAAATTGTTGCATCAAACCTTCAAATAAATTCAGTCAGTATGGTAATTTTCACTGTAACAATTTTGGAAATGCAGTTTTAGAGCCAATTTGTTGATATTTTGGGGGCTTATTGAGGCAAAACCCTTACACAACATTGATGCTGTATTAATGCTTTCTCATTTTTATCCTGATTATCTTGTCATTTGTACTGCATCCTTCATTGTTTTTATACATACATTTATTGAACTTAGAAAAAGTTACATTCGTGTATAGAGCCAGGATGCCCTTTTTTTTTTTTACCAGTAACAAACCATCAATCTCCTTTTTTCAAATTCAAGTTCTAGGACCATGATGGCGAACCTATGGCATATGTGCCACAGGTGGCACGCGGAGCCATATTAATGGGCACGCCAGCTCAGCTCTGAGGCGCATACGCGCGCTGGCCAGCTGATTTTCGGGCCTTCTGCACCCACCAGAAGTAGGGAAACAGGCTGTTTCCTGCCTCTGGAGGGCCGGGGGGTGGGGAAGGCCCGTTTTTCTTTCTTACCTGGCTCCAAATCCAATCTGGGAAGGGCGAAAACAGCCTTTCCCACTCCCTTGGAGGCCCTATGGAAGCTGAAAGGGCCCATTTCCCGACTCCCAGTGGGACAGCAAAAAATGTCACTTCCTGTCCCACCGGGAGTTGGGAAATGGGCCATTTCAGGCATTTGGAAGGCCTCCAAGGGAGTGAGAAGCATTTTAGCTAAGCCTTTCAACTGAAAAAAATGCTCCCATAACTAAATTGGAACTGATTTCCTTTGTTTCATGCATTAGTATGTATGTACCTCAGGAGAGCCCTAGAGATTAAGCCTACAGAATTTTGGGAGCACATGTTGGCATGCATTGTAGAGGATTGTGTGCAGTAAGTTTGACTCCAGCTCTGTTTCTGTGCATTACAGCTGTAACCATCTTTGAGCTTGCCTCTTCATTTGCAAAGCAACTTTTGATTTATGCTACTCAAGCTGCAACTTGCATTAGCACAAACACTTGGGGTTTTTTTGGAAACCCAAGTGGTTTAAAAACAGGAAAAACAGGCAACTTGTTTTGGGAAGAAACTCAAATTTAAATAGTTTTCTTTAGTATCACCTTAATTTCAGGTGTTGTAAAAGTTCAGCATAGAACTGGAATTAAGGAGCCATTGCTATTATCACTGCAAACATGTTGTCTTTAGGAAACCCATAAACCATCTTATTATGATTTGAAATCTTAGATTATGTTCTTGATAAATTGCTTGTAGAACTTGAATATGATGGTTGGGTAATACAAGTCTTATCAAATACCTTTTTTAAATTCACTATAGAGCTTTAAAACTGACAGATAAAAATAAAGCATTAAAATTGTTTTGCTCATACACAGTAGATAAGAAGTCAGTACACCATAAATTGCTAATATTTCTGGATATTTCAGATCTAATTGTCAGTTGCAGTAACTTGTTTTCTTTAAATGAAAAAAAATCACTTCCTCATAATGAGACTACCAGACATCCACTAGAGTTATTTAAAGGTGTTTTCCAAAGGCCATTTTACCACCTTTAATAGCACCTATGTGATCCAGTAATCATAAATATTTGCAGTAGTCAAGCATTTATGATTTAAGTGTATTAAATTTGAAATGTATTAATAGAAATGGTTAAAGAATCATGCTCAACTGAACTTTTGATTCACCAGCAAATAATTTTTAGTATTAAAATTTAAAAAGATATTTAATCAACAAAACATTGAATCGGATCCTTAACTAGACATATTGGAAGGGTAGAAGGGTGGCAATCGCTTGGTATAAAAAGTTAGAATTCAAAAGAATGCATTGAATTCCATTTTCCAAAGTTAGACTTCCACTTATGAATTGAAGGGATTAAGCCAGTGGAAAAACAATTAGGTGTCTTGGAGCCTCATTTACTAAGAAGCTGCTGTTTGGCATTTTCTATTTTGCCAAGAAACATCAACGGGCTCCCTACATGGTATTAGTTAGATATAAGCCTCAGCAAAGTCCATTTGAAAAGCTAATCAAGACTGGAAGGATGAAGAACTTTCTCTCATTAAATTTCTAAGCCCCAAATGGGAGATTCTAGACTCAGAATAGATCACCATTCCTTGAAAAAAAAAAAAGTTTTTCACACCCCTAATTATGATTAACTGAAGATATATTGATCTCTGAGTGTGACTGACTTAAAATCCAACTCCAATTTAGAATACGGTTTGGAATGTGTAGTTCATGTATGCAATATAGCTGCAGCGTTCTGTGGCTAGGATCTTTTGACAATCTGGGATTTAACATTGCCAGTTGCATACCGTTGGTTAATTACGTATGCATTTTAACATACTAATAAGTTACCTGCGTGTTCAGTAACTTGTGGCCTCTAACTGCTTCTTCTCTTCCTTCCTTTTTGTCATCCTGCAGTGTTCTGTGCCAAGGTCTTTGTGGCTAGGCTGCTCCAACCTGGTAGAGAGCATGTGCGCACTGAGATGCCTGCAGAGCATGCCCAGTGTCAGATGTCTCCAGGTGCCTTTCTTCTTTCTTGTTGTAAATGTGTTATGCGTATGCTGTGGATTCAATTTAAATTGTATTAAGTCTTCTGAATGTTTTCTGTATGATTCTCATTAGTTTATGCAGGAGTCTTCCTTAAGAGGGCTCTGTATAACACACACTAACTCTTAACTTAAAACGGTAAGCATTTTGCTCTACCTGTTCCTTCAATACAAATGAAGAATGCATGTTGCCTGTGTTCATTTTGTGTGTTACATGCTGCAATTATTGGAACAATGGATGAAAGGTAGTATCAAAATCCTTACATAGAAATAAGCAGGTAATTATTTCTATAAATCAATTTAACATATACTGCTTTTGACAATATGCTCCCCAACGGTACACGCACACACATATATTAAAGAAAGGGAATAAGTGGCTGTTTCTTCTAAATGTTAAATCATTTAAACAATGATAACATGAAATCTGCTTGATTGGTCTGAATTTCTTTAAAATAGGAAATTGTTTTTAAGTAAAATTATTAGATATTTTGCTTTAAGTTGCAAATTAAGGTTTGTTTAGAGTTAGGTTATTTATAAAAAGAGCTGAATTAGTAAAATGTTTAGTCTTATTCAGAGATTTGACATCTTGTAATTTTATCAATGGAATTAATGATAGGGGAACATAGAAATGTTTTTAGTTAACTAAATATAAAAAACAAGATTCCTACAATTCTAAACAAAAGGGGAAAGCTAAAAAATAGAGACATACAAAACGAACGTTGTCTTACCTGAACGCTCCTTCTCTGCGCGCTGATGGAGAATCCAAATAATGGGAAGTCCTTCAGTCTGTTATTTGGATTCTCCAAGCAGCGCGCTGGAGAACGAACGTTGTCTTACCTGAACGTTCCTTCTCTGCGCGCTGATGGAGAATCCAAATAACAGACTGAAGGACTTCCCATTATTTGGATTCTCCAAGCAGCGTGCTGGAGAACATGCATTTACAGACATTCATGTTTCAGTAAACTGAAGCCATGATTCATTACAGTCATCCCTGGTTGATCTTTATTAAACAATTCTGCAAAGAACTGAAAATGCTTGATCATTTTATGTAATAATGGGCTATTTTAAAATATGTCTAGTAAGCATTATCTGCTGCTGATTGCATAGATCTCATTTGTTGAGATTTCACTGCATTGATTGAGTCTTTCCACAATGTGCCAAAGAATTAAACATTATTTAAGTAGGCAAAGATATTGTGAATCTTGAAAGTCAACTGTGAATTTGTGAATGTAGCCTATAGGTATGCTTAAATTTGAGGAAGAACTCCTTCCTCTTCCTCCATTATTGAAAATCATTAGTTTTCCCAAAAATTTATCTCAAAAATTATTTCCCTGAAGTCATCTGAAAATTCATCACTTCTTTCAGGAAAGTATGGGATTTGATTCATAAAGTGAACTGAAATTCTCTGTGCTGGCTGTAACTGTTTTTTTGCAGATAATAAAGAGACTAGTAATAGTAGGAGAGTTTTTCTATCTCATCAGTTGAATTTCATCCAGGTATTCTTAACCAAAGCAAACCCTCTCAGTTAATACTCATTTTCTTCTGTAATTTTATAACCTTGTTAAAGCTCTCCATTCTCATCTGAAAGGATACATATTAGCAGTTCATCCCCAATGTTGTAATAAATACTGTTATCCAGTTAAGCAGCACACACGTGTGCAGACAGCCAAAGAATTCCTTTGCAAAAGTTACATGAACTTTCCAAAAGGTGCAGGTATTTTGATACTTAAAGCACAGGGGTTCTGTTTAATCAATGTAATTTAAGTGCCCCTTTATAACATTTTGCATAGCCCAAATATTTCTTTTTATGTTGTTCTTGATTCTAAATGAAAAATAAATTCTGTTTTTCAACTATCTTGAAAGACATGTTAAAACAGTTTGTAAAAGTTTCCATCATATTGCTTTGTGTTAGTGTAGATAGTTGGTATATTGGAGTATACATTATAGATTCTTACAGTGAGCAAAGTCCATCACTATTAAATACTGCATGAGGCTGTTCTTGAAATGTGTGTAGTTAAATCAATGGAAGTGTGATATATGCTTGGAATGCTGTGGATGGCAAACACAGAATTGGCTTGCAGTGTGAAAATATATGCATGAAAACTATTTTCTATAGTTTTGCTTATAAATGATTTGTCCTTTTTAATATTGTGGCTAAACTTTAGCTTTCATTACTATACTACCCTGTTTCCCCCAAAATAAGACATCCCCTGATAATAAGCCCAATCGGGCTTTTGAGTGCATGGCAATAAGGCCAAGCACTTATTTCAGGGTTCAAAAAAATATAAGACAGGGTCTTATTTTGAGGGAAACACGGTATCTGCAAATTCATATGACATATTGGCAGAAGCAAATATAACCTCCGAAGAAATGTGATTCTGTGATAAATCAGTCTGAGAATAATATCAGTTTTTTTAAAAAAAAACCTACATTGACAGCTTCTTTTTTTGGTATAGTATAGAAAACTTCCCAATCTTTTTTGTCTGGGCTTAAACACAAATGGACTGTAGAATCAGAAATTGTAAAATGGGCAGTATTTTCAAATAAAATTCACATAAATTTTTCACATAAAATTCAAAGTAGAATTGCTTCAAAATGAATGATTGAGCAAATAATTATCAGAAATAAAATGACATTTTAAACTGGTATGCTACATTTCAGAGATACTGAGGATTGTGTTTTTCAAAGTCAGGGGAAATACTTTTCAAAATACGAAATTTGTGGATGGACCTTGGTTCTAACCAACAAATTTCAGATGGACTCTGGGGCCTAATTCATATGTTTCAGAAGTTACATGTTGTGAAGAATTGATCGGATAAATCAAATTCACTTGGGATCATTATTCCTAAATCTACATGTTGGTATTCTCTAATTTAATCTCTTACTGGCTATAATTTACGGGAGGTGAAGTATAACATATTCTTAATTGAACTGTGAAAAGGAAGACCTCAGGATTGTGGTGCAGAGTTTACCAAAACTTTCATCTCCATATGAATGTGGTAATGAAAAAGAGCAATATTGACCTAGAGGTTTTTGAGAGTTTGGTTATTGACCTAAAGTTATATTACTATTAATTGTCCTGGAGGGATTGCTCACCATAGGGAAAGGTGGTAACATTCATCATAAAATCCCGCTCGGCTAATCCTTCGTTTGAGTATCACATAGCTACTATCAGCCTCTGAGAAGAAGCCTAGTAATTAGTCAGCTTTATTTTTCAAAAATGTTTATTGTTTATATGCTTGAAAGTTACTTTGAGAGAAGGTTGTTAACTAAAAGATGGGATGTAGACCATAGATACTAAATGAATGAAATGAATGAATCTATTGTATAATGCAGAAAAGTATGAATAAGGGAGCCAGTTTGGAGTAATGGTTAAGGCAATGGGCTAGAAACCAGGAGACTTGAGTTCTAGTTGCGCCTCAGGCATGAAGCCAGCTGGGTGACTTTGTTCCTCTTTCTCAGCCCTAGGATGGAGATAGTAATAAAGCTAAGATAAACATTACAATCTTTGACTAACATGTGTACACACAGACACACACTCAATAAAATAAAATGCACATTAAAAATGGCAATCTAAATAAGTTATATAAGTTAAAAAGAAAGGGGAAGAGTTGTAAATGTATCACAGAAATATGGTTTCGGTTGCTTCACTCTTGCAGAAGCAAGACAGAATTTGGCAACATAATGGGTGATGGTCATGGGAGTCCCAAGCTGTGGAAGGGAATTTTTTTATATTTACCATCAATAACTGCTGAAGGGAATGGGTTGACTCTAGTGAGAACAAATGCTTTGTAATGTCTATTGTTGATTAGAGACTGACAATAATCAGCTAGTTTAGTGGTAAACCTTAGTAAACCAGCCTGTATCAAGGATTGTCTTCAGTGATCTTTTTGCTTGGTGGTGTTTCATGTGTTAAAGAAGTTAGAATGCAGCTTTTGTCAAATGATAACTTCCAGTTAAATTGGAAGTTATCTCTATTAAGGGATGTCAAGCCTAATCCTGAAAATCTTGCCAACAAAACTGCAGGGATTAGTCCAGGAAACTATCAGAGTCAAGCCTTATACAAAGGCATGCTCACACACAGATACAAAATTTAAGTGCTTTTAAAATTGTATGGTGTGGGGAAGGCAGATTAAGATTTTAATAAAAACAGATTAAAAACTCTTCCAGTGAAGATTAATGGCAAACTAGATGTCCCTTGAATGGAGATTGTGAATGGATTTAGGATCTGGATTGATGAAGCCTTTCCGGAGCAAGGGGAGAGTGTGAGGTATTTCATGTGTACTCCGTGAGTGAGTAGATTGCAGGAACATGTAATCAGCTTCTGAGTTGAGTGAGTAGGAGTCAGGGATTCTGTATTATCTCACAATCATAACACAGCCTTTTTAATGTCCAAAATGTCTAACCAAGGCTCATTACTTAATGAGCCTTTGAAATTATTTTTTTACTATTTTTGAAACCTTAAGAAACTTCAGGACAAAAAGTTTCATTGCATTCACAGGATGAATTCCTCCTTGCAAAAGAGGTTTGACATTTGAGTTTAAGGAATTAGACAAATAGAGTTGGTTTTTTTTTAATAAACAGCAATAGAAAGTTTAAAGTGATGATTTTGAAAAGTTAAAAATGAACTAAGGCTCTAGATGGTTTTGAAATGGGAATTAGTTATTTAATATAATACTCTTCCCTTGGGAAAATTCTGGTTGTTTTGGTTTGGTGGAAGGTACTGTATTTTTCAGACTATAAAATGCTCCAGACTATAAGACGCACCTAGCTTTTGAGGAGGGAAACAAGAAAAAAAAATCTGCCTCTGCCTCCCAGCAATTGCCTCCTTGCAGCAAACAGCCTGGTCAGCTTCAGCACAGCCTGATTTAGCACAAACAGCTGATTGGCAGTTGGAGCAGCCTCTCGGAATACCGCCTATTAGCTGTTCCAAGCTGTGGGGATCAATGCCGCTCATTGCTACTGCCGCTCATC